ACGACACCGAGGGCAAGGGCGACCTTCATCCGAATCCGCATCCGCCCCTTCTTGACGTCGATGATGTAGTTCCGGGCGATTTCGTGCCGGTGGTGGTGGTGGTCCTGCTGCTGCTGCTGTTGCTGCTTGTGCTTCTTCTTGTCGTCGACCCTCTCCGGCTTGGTGACGGCGGAGAGGAGGAGGGACTCCTGGAGGTCGAGCACGTAGGACACCATTCCGGAGAGGAGGATATCAACGAATCCGAAGCCGATGATGACGAAGGTAATGGAGAAGATCTTGGCGGAGGCGGTGGTGGGGGTGATGTCGCCGTAGCCAATGGTGCACATGGTAACGATGCAGAAGTAGAGAGCGTCGACGACTGGGTGAGTCTCAGCGGCGGTGAAGTGGTGTCGGTTAAAGGTGTAGACGGCGACACCGAAGGCGAGGTAGACGACGAGGAGGAGGAAGGCCTGGGCGATGATGGAGGGCCGGCCGGGAGAGTCGACCCGGGAGGGGCCGACCTCGTTGATGGCGGACATGGCCGGCGCGGTGCGGGAGCGATGGAGATTGGTCTTCCATCGCACGGCAGAGGGGTCGCTCAGCCAGGCATCGGCGGCGGCGGAGGAGAGCGGATGGGGGCCGGGGCTGCCGGGGATAGGGATGGCGTTGGGGGATGCGGGAGGGGAAGAGGCGGGTAGGGCAGCGGCAGCGGCGGCGTCGTCGTCGTGGTGGAGGTCAGCGGGGGAGGGAAGGCCGAAGATGAGGCGGTCCTTGAGGGACGAGGAGGCGGCGGCGCTAGGGGAGGAGATGGGGAGGGAGATCTCGCCGTCCTCGGGGAGAGGGCAGAGGGCGAAGGAGGAGGAGGACGTGGGAGTGGAAGGTGGAAGGGAGGGTTTCCTGCGGTGGGAAGGGAGAGATGGGGAAGATGCCGCCGACGGGGAAGTGGTTTTTATGGGGAGCAATGGCTCTCTCTCCATGGGTTGGGGGGAGGGGAAAGGAAGAGTAAAGGTTCGAAGGAGGAAGCCACCGATGCTATATGACCATGTCGGTGGGTTGGGTTGGTTGCGAAGTGGGTTGTCGAAGGAGGAAGAGAGAGTCTGAATTGAAGCACCGAATTCCAAATAAAAAGAAACGGAGAGAACTAAATGATTCGTGTTGGGAGGCGAGAGAAAGGCGGTGGCGGAAGAGAGAGAGAGAGAGAGAGAGAAGAGAGTTGCGGAATCGCAGGGCGACAGGTGGGTTGCGAAGAGTGGTATATGCAGGGCGATAAGACAATGATGGGATGTTTGAGTTAGCCCCAATTGCGATCGCAGGTTACGAATTTTGAAATATACATATTTAATATTATTAAAATTTTCAATGTTATAATAATTAATTTTTAAAAATGAATATAAATTATTTTGGATTTTTTACCGAATAAGCGTCCAATATTGGTTTTTAGCATGGATTTTGTTTTCACTTGGATGAAAATAATATATTCTAGCTTAGGTGACTTGATCATAGATGCTATCCAAAAATCTTAATTTTGATAATTAATTATGATAAAAGTATTTAAAAATAAAAATATTAATCATCTTATAATTATTTCATTATTATATTTTTATTTTTAAAAATTATAAAAATTAATTATTAATTTTTTGAATAGCATATGTGATCAAGTCATTTTAGTCGGAGACTAAAGTTATTTTTGTCTAAATAGAAAAAAAAAACCCCATGAGAGGCGTTATCCGGTAAAAAATCAATAGTGAAGATTTTTTCGAGTAAAATACCTAATTATTTTTCTTCATTTTTTATAATATCATAACTGAAGAATATCTTGTTACAAATAGGAATAAATAAGCTTTTTCCAATTTAGAGAAAAAATATATTTCATGATTCTATATATCATTAAATTTCAAAAAATAAAATTTCTAATTGAACTTTACGTACAGAACCTGAGAGCATATGTTGAGGGTTAAACATTTTCTTTAAAAAATTGAAAATGAGGGACTCCTTAACTATTTAAGTTACTAATGACAATCTTAAATTTAGTTGAATGGGGTTGGAATGGGTCATGGATGATGATTGTTCCTTGTGAGAGTGACCTATAACTTGAATGTGAGGATAAAATTGACATGTTGTTTGTTTGCAGGGATGTTTGATCTTTAATTAGGACATTATTTTAGAATTTTCAACCAAATTTAACATCTGCTATTGAAATCTTGGTGCTAATTATTGTCATAAACAACAGCATTTTAGTAGGTGGAGAACACAATGACTGCAGCAGAACTCAATGTGATGGCTCTGAAGGTTGACTGTGTCAAATTGGCTTTTAGAAAACAGTTGATCTTCTAGACTCACTTTCATGAATAGTTAGCAGAAATTGTTGGGGTTTTGACTTGGAATAATTTATGAAAGTCAATTTGATGTGAGAAAATGGAGTTGGAAGTTTTAGTATCAACTTATTTTTACCCAAGCATCATCAATAGATTCAGGAAAGCAAAAGGCCAATCTTCTTCATGGTGTCCTTTTCTCAAATGGCACCTTCACCAGATGATACTCAACTTTGATTATGATCCATGTGGTGGTGCCAATCCATGAATCTTTGATGGTAGCAAAGCCAAACTCCTCATCAATTCGCAGTATATTAATAAAGATACAGAGACCGATACATGCGCTGTTCCCTTCAGTTGAAAAAACATCCTTTTCAATCAGTATCAGAAATGGAAGTTATCAGACCAAACAAGCAACTAGATTTGGACATCATCTAGGTCAGAAATCATGCAAGAGCATGCATACAGATGAGCACAAAAATCTTATAATACCTGAGGTTGGAGAACTATTTTGACACTTATGTCTTATGAAAATAGCATTTCAGATTCCAGGATGAGGCAATGTACATGACTAATTTCTACCTCACAGTATCTTCAGTAGTCTTCAAGACTATTAATCTGTGGTGTTTCATATCAATCCATAATAAGAACATTGTCTATAAGAGAAATGGAACATTGGCTATCACAATAGTTGCACTTCGATCCAGTGAGCATATGAGCAGACCAAATCAAACAATCTGTGATGCTACATAGATGTGAAGAAACCATACCTGCTTATGTTGCTGCACATAAGAAGGCTTGATACCTGCATCAAGAGATCCGGCATCGAGTGCAGGGGTTTTGTTTGCTTTACTGCAAATGAATTTGGGTAGATTTTTAGTTGAATGATCATTCAGCTCTATGATCAATGGTGAATCAAGGAGTAGGCTATCAGGAGCAGTCAGCAGAGGGGAGGTGGCACTCAAACATGTGCCACTGGAGCATGGCTTGGAAAACCTGGTGAAAGAGTTGAAGAGATGTGACGAATCTGAGAGCTCAAGAGAGAAACTCTGTGGTGACTTGCTCAGCAAGAGCTTATCCATGGATTTAAAGTATTGCAAGATTCCAGGGACAGGGACTTGGTCTTTTACATCACATGTTGTTTGGAAGTAGTAGGTTTGAACATTGGTTGCAGTACTGGTAGCTAGATCCAATCTGTCCTTCCTTGTAGAACATAAATTATATTATCCTATAAACATCCATCAGTCAAAAGATAGTAATTAAGTTTTTGATAATTTGTTTTTAATGAAGGCTATAAACATGCTGGGAAATGATATGTAATCTTCTTTGCTAAACCTTTAGTGAGATCAAACTGGCAGAAAAGAACTTACCAGTTTTAGTCCTTCCATATTGTCCACATTGAGGCAGCACAGAGTATGTAGCTCTCTGGTTCATTTATGGAGATCAGAGAAAGAGAATCACTCAAATCTGGAGTTCTCCATTCTTGTGGTTTTGATGGAAGAACACAGCTCTGAAAGATCTGTTGAGATATATAGCTGCTTTACAAAACGCTCAAAATGAGTAGGCAATTACATAATTAAAGTATGCAAATACACCGTCTTTTGGTAAATGGGATGAACAAGTCTGATAAATCTTCAAAAGGACTAAGTGAGTGAGGGTAGGTCAGGAGGTGCATGTAAAACAATTAACAGTGCTGTGCAAATGCATATTGTGATCATTAACAAAATGATAGTGTACAAATGTCTCTCTTTTTGGTAGCAATTTTCGATCATCATTAATATATAGATGGTGCAAAATCCCAATATGGTCAGTTACCCCTATATTTAGCTGCTAAGCAGTCATATTCAGATTAACCTTTGATAATTATAAGGTTAAATACTTCCTTTTAACCTGGATGAATGTTCAGGATGAGGTAATTGGGACCAAAATATCTTAGATGAATGTTCAGGATACTCTGAATGGAGCAGCATGTTAGATTGTCAGGAATCTGGATTTTGTGGACTACCTGCAAGGTGGTATTCCACAAAAATTAAGCTATAAACTAGCCTTGTATATTAAGGCTTGCATTAGCAAACATACCCAAAGGGAGATATATTAAGGCTTGCAAGAACACTAAATGGCTCAGCATTCAGCCAGGGTAGGGTCACTGGCATGATATGTGCTGTTATCTGGCACAAGGATTGTACTCTGTAGATCTTTGATGATGTCTCTGTTAGTATAGAAAGAACCATCACATTCAAGGCTTGAACTCTGATCCAAAGGGTTCCAGGATTGAGAGGGTGATTGCTATGCAGATTAGTATTTTTGTTCTTCCATGACATCCAAAGTTGTTTAACATCTTATCTGAAAGTAATCAATACATAAAAACATATTTTTACTCAATGTTGAGTGGGTATTTAATTTCAAGGGAAAAAGAATCAACACCTTACATCTACAACTACCATCAGAATATTTAGGTACAAAAGTTATGCCCATTTGGATTGATCAAAATATAAGCACCTACCAGTGTTATTAGATTTTTGTACATGCTAATATTAAGAAAACTCATTGTAAATATAGTTCTAATTTCTAAATCATGATGAGACCAAGATCTACTAAGAATCCTCCCTGCCAGCTTTCCTTGGTCCTTCTGCAAAAAGCTAATCAGCAGCATGTATCACATTTAGTCAACCATCAATATTTCAGCATAAGCTGTCTCATTATAGTAGCAGTGTTGCCTGCAGACACATGTTAATATTAAATTACAAGGTCCCCTGAGATATAGACCATTAAATTTGAGCCAACAAAGCATGATCTCAAAATGATGTGATGATGAAACTCTTAGCCACCAACCAGTTATTTCTTGTTTTTTGCTTGGCATATTGATCTACCATGTCATAGTTTGAAGGATTGGTGATGTCAAGAGAGAGAGAAGCCTGCTGAAAATTGGCCTATAACATCTCTAATCATTTGTCATTGCAGATTAGAGAATAAATAACAACAGCAATTTTCCAAGCTAATTGTTGCATCAATCTTCTCAGCAATTGTATCCATTTAAAGCTGAAGGAACCTCCTGACACTTCTCTGTCAAGGAAAACAATGACAGACAGACTCTCCTAATTCAATTGTCAGAAACTCCACTGTCAAAGCGTTTGTTGAATGAGAGTCATAATGTGTTCTATCCTTCATGCTTAAAGGGTCGAAATAACAAGCAAAGCTGAATTGTGCCAGCAGAGCCCATCTTTGTTAGATTCTATTTTCTGGTCTCAGATCATCTCTGCGTCTAATTCTACTCAGCATCTCCTCCAGAGTTGCTTGAGTTTCATGTTTTGGTTCCTCTGACTTGAGATTAGCATCAGAGATCCTGACATCAATCCAGCCATCGGCTGAAGAAGAAGTAGAAGGAGAGGACCAAGTGGGCTGCTGCATCGTTGCGAGTTCCCTGATACGATCGGATGGAGAAGAAACACGTGAATCTGGAGCTACTGATTCCATCAGGGAAGAATCTATAGAATTTGATGGAGATCTCGGCGACAACCATTGAGGTAATCCAAAGACACTCCGCGGCGAACTTTCTGTCGAACTGCATCGATTGCAAGCCGCAGCGGCATCGACGAGATCTTCCTCCGCTGCGATGAATGGATGCTGCAGCAACATCTCTGCAGTCCACCGCTTGAACGGGTCCTTGACGAAGCACCGGCTCAGGAAATCCTTCCCTTCCTCCGACAGCTTGCTCGGGATATCCGGCAGCTCGTCGCTGAATCCAATTCGGAACATCAGTCCCCACGCATCTCCGTCGTCCGACCCGCTCCATGCTGGCCTACCGGTCACCATCTCCGCCACCGCGCAACCGAACGACCAAATGTCTCCCGGGGCCCCGTACTCGCGCCGCGCCACCGACTCCGGCGACATGTAGAGCGGCGTGCCGCGCATGCTGCCACGGTCGCGCGCGTCGATCTCCTTCTCGATCCGCTTGGCGAGCCCCAAGTCCGCTATCTTGACGTCCGCGCCGCCGTTCTCCACCAGTATATTCTGAAGCTTGAGGTCGCAATGGACGTACCCTCCCGAGTGCACGCGATCCAGGGCGCGGAGGATCGAGCGCGCGTACCGCCGGACGGCAGGTTCCCGAAGCGCTCCGCCGGAGCGGCCGAGCACGTCGCGGAGGGTGCCCCCGGCGACGTACTCGAGGAAGAGGTTGTAGAACTGGGCGCCGGAGGCGGCGTCGGTGGTGACGTCATGGCCGAAGCAGCGGACGAGGTGAGGACAGCACCGGAGGTCGGACAGCACGGACTCCTCATGGCGTAGAGAGTCGGACGTGGCGAGGGGGGCGGACTTCACCGCCATGACCAGCGGGCGGTTGTCCTCGGCGCGTCGGACGAAGGCGAGACGGACGGTGCCGAAGCTGCCACGGCCGAGGACGGCTCCGCTGCTCCACTCCATGCTCAGCAGCAACAACGAGCGAGGGAGAGGTGGAGAGAGGCTGGCGGGATTGCAACAGCGAGGAGAGATCGGTGGCACGTTTGGATCGAGGCCTATTTGTCTCGAGTTGGTATGGGGCGAGTGCGGTGTCAGGCAACGCTTCGTCTTAGAATGCTTCTGATCTAATCATTGGGCCGCGTCCTTTCAACGTGGCCGCATACGCAAATCTATATAGATTTCCGTGTTCGTTGAACGGAAGGTGGACGGAATCGTCCACTGTATCGAACTCGAGATTCTCCAGTAAATCCCGGAACCCGCCGCCACTATATATATATATATATATATATATATATATATATATAGTGACAATTGTAGAATTACAACATTTATTTAAGGTAAAGAAATAATTAATATTTTTTGGTAAGTGGTCAATAATGGCACATAGTTGGAGCATTTGCAGGGCTATATGAATTATATGTATAAAGAGGATGGAATGTGTAATTTTAGATTTATAATATTAATTTAATATATAAAATTTTAAAAAAATCATATTTTTGGTAAATGGCCAACTAAACTAGTTGACACCTACAAATTAGTCAACATGAAAATTTGAGGTACTAAAGTCTTTAAAAATCTCAAAAAGAAACTCAAATTTATGATTTTGTTAGATATGTTATTTTATAATTTTTTTGTCAATTAAATGAATTAGCACCTTAAAAAAAATCAGATTTGTTCTATGGTTTGCAACTTCAAATTTTGAGACATATAAATCTCAAAATAAGGGTTTTTTTTTTTATTTTTCTAATAAAGAAATATTCTTGAATTTTATTTCTAATAAAATGGTCAGTAAATCGAATTAATAAGTGATGATTTTTTTTTTTAGTATTAATTAGATAATAATCACAAACTGAAAATAAAATGTTATCGATATAAGAATCATTTTCACTACAAAAAAGAAAAAAAAGCATTCACTTTGATTTCTTGTGCACATAAAGGAAAAGAACCGCGGAAACTAAAAAGAAAACAAAAGGCTAAATATTATCGTCTCACAAACCCAAAATGTCACACAAGGTTTTGTGGGTGGCTGGTGATGCTGCTACAAAACGCAATACGAGTTGGAGTCGAATCAAGTTGCACAAGAACCTAAATTACAGGATGAACTCACTCATGCATTGTAAGCTGCCCAAACTAATCAGCAAGTTTTCCTTCATATTGATACAGTGGAGAGTTAAATCTACACGTGAAACTGAGACTGATGATGACAATGCTTGTTCATGCAGGTGATAGAATAAAATAATGTGTTGATGGTGAAATGCACACCTTATTGATTTGTGGTTGAAGGTTGGGTTGAGTAATCTTGACAAGAAGATCGACAAGAGGCCAAGCATGTGGTGCATGCGGCATGATTATTGAGAGAGACAAAGAAAAGGAAAGATTAGTCAACAAATAATGAAGGCTCATAATCCTTTATTGGATTCATAAATACTCTATTTAGACATTATTAGTACATTACTTCACTTCACATGTAATATGTTTTGAACAAAATATTCAAATGCAATTTTAGTTGTTTGAGGAGATGAATGATATTTGCTTGGATTAAGAAACTACAGACTTCGATGAGAAATCATATATATGACATGTTGAGTTTGCCTTCATCTAACCAATATGAACTTTGGATGGGTCTCCGTTGGCTGTTTTCGATCCACCTAAAAAGGTTGGTATGAGCCACCAACCACCTTTTTTGCCTGCATCTTAGCATTCGTATGTCAGATTGCAATCATGGCTTCCGCTGCCACATTCTTGTCTTGAATCGTCGCACGTCAAAACATCTCTCTCTAGCATGAGAGAGATAGAGAATGTTTTAGGTGTGTCGATTTTTTTTAATATACAAAAAGATAAATGACGGAGACAAAATTCGAATATAGAATTTTATGATAAATTATTAATTTTTTATTAATTAAATTTATTATACTCTTAAAAATACATCGAATGAGGCTTCGAATTATTAATATTTAATACATAGATTAACTGAGGAATTTATGATTTGTAATTACAAGTTATTCGATACAAAGAAAGCGATTGGGTTCAATAAAAAAGATATTTTTATTTTAGAAATTAAAATAATTATATAATATACAAATTAGTATTAAAACATAAAAGAAGATAGTCAAGTGAAACCTAATTGGATTGGTCGATTTAGTATATTAGTGAATTTATCAGTGAATCTCGGATAAGAGTTTCGCTTGACGACTCAAAATCAAGTCATTCTTCTGATATCATTAAATACTTAAGCTCAAACTAATAATAAGTCATTATTAATTTTTAAGATATTACACGAGTGTTTAAAATCAACATTTGTTGGCACCTAAACTCATTTAATCAACACTTATTTGTTTGTCTACAGAGAAATTTCTTATACTAAATCAATATATGTAGTTGCAATAGCTAATCTTTAGTGGAAGATTTCCCAAATTATTCTCTCCTTTTTTTATTTATTATATATTAACTTAATGGTGAGAGAGATTTCATTAATCATGATATCATCATCATCATAGGGTTGATCATGATATCACCGATATGACGACAACTGTTGCTTCGCGCTCAAGTCGCACAGGTCCCCCGACATCCAACCGCTACTACGTAAACGGTTGATGGTGGGCAACATCAGCGTTCCAGCTCTTCTCGCCCAACGCTTATGGCGTGCTTTACGTCGAGCAGGTTGGGGGCGTGCGAGATGTTGTCGGCAGCTCAAGACATCATGTATTAAACATGTAGTATAGAGATTGTTTTGTGCTTGCAGGCGAAGCAGGTAGGACGCAGGTAGGACGCAGGTGGAAGACGAAGACGACGACAACTCATCATTCAGCTCTTTTGCCTAAAACACGACATTGCTCCTTATCTCCGCCATCCCCTCTCCTCTTCCTCCGACCTCTTATTCTCCATCGTGACTCTCGTCACCCTCACCTTCCCTCCCCTCTTCTTTTCTTGTTTGTGTTGACGTCCATGAGGACTTGCTATTGTTAGCTGACGACCTCGACATCACCCAGCGGTGACGGTCGCCCGACCCCTCCACCTCACCCTCATCGCGGTCCTTGCATGCGTGCCCTAGTCATCATCCTTGCCCGTGTGCCCTTGTCGCTGTCCTCGCCCACACGCCGTCGCCCTCATCGTTGTTCTTGTGAGTCCGATGCAAGTTCTCGTGGCTACTATCATCAATGGCATGTCGAGTGTTGGCAGAGACGCTGGCGACGGAGAAGCCGGCTTCAGCTTTAGGGTCGCCAACCCTCGCCGGTGCCATTTGGTTCTAATTTGACGCTGTCTGCTGTCACAGTTGGGCGTCGTTTGGGTTGCAAACCGTGCGCGGGTGCGGCAATTGGTCGAGCACGTCGTCGACTGGTGTGCTCAAATCAACCAGACATTGTGGCATTTATGGGGTTTTCGAGCTAATATTGATGATATCAATACTGATCATTGTGGCATTTATGGGGTTTTCGAGCTAACATTGTGGCATTTAAGTCATACATGTCCTGATGATATCAATACTGATCATACCAACAATATAATAATATTGATTATAATCTTAATATGAAGCTACTAATAATGATGAATATACTAACTATATAAATTGATTTCATATTATCCTTCAACTTCAATTAACAAAAACGATTTTTCCTTACGAAAAATACTTATCCATTGTTCATTAAAAAACTCTCTTGAGAGATTACCAAAGATGTTTCACTAAAAATATTTTTGTTATTACTTTGATTTATATTCCTTGCTCTAATAACATGATATATAAATACTATACTGGTTTGTTGACTATCGAGATTAGTATTAATTCTAGATTTATTATTGCTTTGATTTATTATATTCCTTGCTCTAATAACAACGCAAATACCATACTGATTTGTTTGGTTATCGAGATTGGTATTAATTTTAGATTTAAATCCTTAAGTAAAACTTTATTGGGGCTGCTAATATTATGTATGACTAATAAATTAGTCTTAGTGCTCCATAGATCCAAATTTGAAGACTTAGGCTTCAATGCTCAACCAATGAGCTATGCTAACCCTTGATGAAGGCCCAATAATGTAATCAAGGATGGGAAGACACAGTTCAACTCAGCCAAGTATGATTGATAGTTTAGTATCTTATCACAACACTATTACCTATAGCTTGTCATGTTACCATGAACTATGATCAAAGCATGACAACAACTAGAACTTTTTTTTAGCTCATGTTCACTCCATTGTTTTCACTTTACCATATCTTTGTCTATCAAGTCAAACACAAATATATTCTATCAATAAAAATAAAGACCCCTCCACTCCTTAATAACATACTTATACAAGAGATTATATCGAGAACCTATTCTGGATATCATCTTTGTCTAAAAGAAGCTTCAAAATAACACTCCTTCGAGAACTAAGAACATCAGACGCGTTTGAGATTTCATAAATGGTATATAGGAAAGAAGATCATCTTGTAAACCTTAATAAAAATAAGCTCACGAGGAAATAGTTATCCATCGTATTAATTTGATACTTAGTTATTAAGAGAAATTAGGTATGATTATTAAAACATATTTGATAGGGGACACAATATATGCCCATTTCAAGGCTACTATTTTATTATTAGTCCAACATCAACTCAAACATATTTTCAAATAATATAATATCATGTTATTATAGTCAGCATATTAACTCGGTCACTATTCATGTCTGTCCTAAAAAGAAGTATCCAACAATCCTACACAACCACCATGAATTAACCTAAAGACCATTATAAGAGATCTTGGTTAGGCAATTTTAGGAGAGATTACCCTATTATTATGGGCACCAACTTAAGCATAGAAAAGAGTTTTATTGGATATATGCCCCCCGATATAGTTTTGTAAGTCTCCCAATCAAATTCGATTATTTTAAGACACTGAAGCTTGCGATTTCTGATTTGAAATAGATTGACTCTGAAATCTCGAACAAGATCAGAAGAATAGGAGACCGGGAATCGTAGAAAAGATTGTACAGTAACATTCCTGGCTTGCTTGAAGATAAGTTCGAGAGAGAGAGAGAGAGAGAGAGAGAGAGAGAAAGAGAGGAAGAAAAGGTTACAGCTGCTTTCCGAGTCACATGAGATTCTATCCTTTGCTGCCACAGCGACGTCAAAGGCAAAGCAGCCAAAGAAGGCCAATTCTTGCGTCAGATAATAAAGCCCCACAGGATCGGTCCACGGCAAAAGACGATGCAGGATATAAAGGAACCCTTCTTTTCTTCACCTTCGCTGTCATCCTTCTTTTGCCATGGAATTCGTACGTTGTTGCTGACCTCAGTGTTCTTCAGAACTGTAGTGATCAGACATGCATGCTTACTAATTTTGTTTGAGCTGATCATGGGAAACGATGTCTGTCAGCAGCATGACACGTTACCATGCGTTCTTTCTTCTTCACCATTACCCACTCGTTGTTCATGGATGATGCAGCTTCTTCGCAATTCCATCCACTTCAAAGGGATCGATGGAGGGCGGTAGATATGATGTGTGACATAAACCAAATCCACCATCACTTGCTTCACCCCGTTAACATCAATACAAGATTCGAGACGATCGAGAATGTATCATAGTCATGATTAGAAATCCAGTCAATACATAGAACATGTCATGACATGGCGTGCACAGTAGAAGAAGGAAAAGGAGGAGCGTGGAGGAAGAAGAAAGAAGAGGAGGGGCCACACTCCACTATCCCATTCCATGCAAGTGGGAGCGAGAAGAGGAGAAAGAAAGGAAGACAGGAGAAATCAAAGATCCCAAAAGCTCTCTTCTCTGCTCGTGGATCACCAAAAGTGACGGAATATTCTCACCGACCTTATCCTCCTCCTCCTCCTCCCGCAGCGACATCTTCTGAGCTCAGCATTGATCCGAAGCCTTCATCTTATCTGCTTCCAAATCGTCTCTTTCATGCGCCCTCCTCTTTGCTCTATAAATCTGCGCCATGCTTCCCCTCCGTGTCGCCACCACTGTTCACATCCTTGTGGCTCGCCATGGAGAAGCTGCCGGCGTCTCAAGTAGCAAAGGGGGCGTTCCTTCTCGCCCTCCTCCTCTTCACCCCTTTCATATCCTCATCCTTGAGGACCTCTTACCTGTACTTCCTTCTCAACATCCTCATCGTCGCTCTGGGACTCGAGGCCGGCTTCCTCACCGCCATCTCCAGGCCTCACGAGGAGAAGAAAGCGCAGAACTCCCTGGAGACTCCGGTCCCCGTGGAAGCCGCCGTCCATGACGCGGCTACTGATGCAACCAAGCTTGTCAGCCCGCAAGAACGGGTTACACAGGCGGCGAAGCCACCACGGAAGCCGGCGGTGCAGACGAGAGCGCAAACTTTGAAGCGCTGCCCGTCAAGGGCGAGCCTTTTCTTCATCGGTGGCGCCGAGGGAGACAGCTTCGTCAAAGAGGAGAAGGAAGAGAAGGTGGAGGAGGCCGGGGAGCTGAGCAAGCAGGAGTTGTTTGCCAAGGCGGAGGCTTTCATCGGCAACTTCTACAAGCAGCTGAGGATGCAGAGGGAGGAGTCGTGGAAGAAGATTCATGGGTTCTATCACAGGGCTTTCTAGGTTTCACCTGATGGCTACTTCCATGTTGAGCATGGCACTGTGGTTGAGAGAGAGAAGTACCGAGCATATTTTCTTTGGTACATCTCATTCTTTGACGTATGTTGCCTCGAATGATACTGAGCTGCGGCCAGTATGGTGTATTTACTGCATCTTATTGTCAGCATCAATAATAGATCAAGCCAGACAAGTAATAATAATAATAATAATAAATGATTTGTGCATGTCTTCCATAAGATATGGTCGGATAGTTCAAATCTTTTACCAGATAAACTAAATGAAGTATTGGGAAACATAACATGCAACACCATGCAAGGGAATCAAAGTTCTGTCGTATTGACAAGAAGGGAAGTAACATACCAAGAACTGCGAAGTGCTAACTTTTATATTCAACTTAGATGCCATCATAATGTATGTTTAGGGATAATTTCTGCTGTATTGTCACAGTTTTATCCAACAAGATGGAGACAAAGCTCGCTAATACACAAACCAGTTCTCCCCGATGTTCAAAGGAACCCTACTCTTGCGTGACACCGGGTAAACTCACACAGAATTCTTCATGAGGATAGAAACTATGCATCCCAGGATTGCACCTGCACAGACCTGCATGAGAAATTTGCACTTGATTAGAGTTGCCAATTGCTAACATAATAACTACACTACAAACAGAAGCCTTTCTGCAAAATAATAATTGGTCTTGAGGACTAGTTTTGACTCTAACAACTGCAGTTATAATAGTCTGATGTTTCGGTGAGGGTTACAATGCCTTAAAAACCATGATATAGTGTATGATAATTGCGCTAAACTATTTGTTAGTTGAATGCAATGAGCTCTTCTGTATAATATGCAGCCTATTGACTTTGCTCTTAAGACCAGCAATGAAAAAGGGCATGAGATATCATTGTTTCTTTACTGCTTCTAATTAGCTATTATAAGCCAAGGTAATTGATACATCTAGAATAACGTAGATAGAAAAAACAGATAAATTAGGATAAATTTAATGAGGTAGTTCATTAACAAATCAGAGTTCACAACATACTGAAGTCCTTGTCCTGAAAAAACGAATGCACATCTGGAGTTTCTTATCGTTCACCTCAGCAGACAAATGTAGACTGAGATGCAGCATCAGAAATATTGATTATGAAAATTTGCCAAGACCATGAATTGCATCTGCAGCCTACCTGAAGTGGTGTGTGTCCAAGGAGTTCTCGTAAAGGCCTAGAATTAGACACAGGATGCTCTGGTGGTAGCTCACATACTATATGATTCAACAACTGCAACGATGACCATGAAACGAGAAGTTATAGAAGATCTAATATGTTTATCATTTTAAATAACAGCCATATCTAAAAATGAAAGCCACAAAATACCATATCCAAGTACACAAGAATACAAGTTTTGGTATCAAGAAATTATGTCGTAGGACGAGATACAAAAATTTAAACCATGCACATAGATGAAAGGCACCATTAATCATAATTCCAGCGGAGAAACCTTTTTTTCTCCATGATTCCCCTCTCCTCCTCCCCAAACCACGCTCAAACACAAGAAAAAATAACATCAAAAAGTTAAAAAAAGGGAAACAGAAATCTTTTCTACATTTGCTAGAATCAGTAGGAAATGAAACCTTCAGAAATACTCGATAGCAGTTAGAATATAAATCATAATAAAGATGATCTTCAAAAAACTAGAAGCAAGTTGATGCCACTTCAATAAAAATTATATTTCAAATATGGTTCTGATTACTACTTTGAGGATCATAAAATAAGACATGGAGAAGTGGCACAATAAGCTACGAAGAAATGAGCAAGCTTAACAATTGACAAAAATATAAGATTCTTAGATTCATCTGGATTCTTCGTCATATGAAGCAAGTTGATACCACTTCAATAAAAATTATATTTCGAATATGGTTCTTATTACTACTTTGAGGATCATAAAATAGGACATGGAAAAGTGGCACAATAAGCTACGAAGAAATGAGCAAGCTTAACAATTGACAAAAATATAAGATTCTTTGTCATAATGAAGCATCCTATGGTTTCCCGAAACCCACCAATAAATAGACACTCTCGGTCACTCTAAGATGCATATTACAAAGCATCCAGCTATTTCAGAACCACCCAAACATATGGAGGAGGCGTTTAATTACTTAAGAAACTTATATACTCAGTGATAAAGATTTAGGCTGATTAATTAGCATGTTTCAAGCTTGAGAGCAATGGTTTGATACATCACAAATAGATTTGTCAAGCAAGACTCACTTACAAATTAATATAAAAAAAGATGGATATTAAACAATGAGACTAGTATATTATCTCTCCTAAATCTTAACATAAACAATCCTAGCTGATTGTCTAATTATATCAAAAGCCACCTTTGATCAAATTGATTTTGTGACCATAAAATTTAAAGCAGATAAACAAAATGTTAATTTATAATGCAAATATGCTTGTAGGTAAGTAAATATAAGAGGAAAAAGAAACAAGGAAATAATTTCTAGCTTTGTGTCAGTGTTTCTTTAGTACATTAAAAAGTGAAAACAGTAGTTAATGTAAACTTGTATATGCCTTCTAATAGGTTCAACATCGACAAGGAGAAAATGGCCTTTTACTGGTAGAGGAAGAAAATGTTCCTCTAGGAGGAACAAATAAACAAAAGAGCCTATAAGAAACAACCACACCTTAATAATTTTGTAGTATCAGCAAAAAACCTCCAAAGAACTACTATAGTTGACAATCCAGATGGAAGTAAAGTTGCTGAAACCAATGATTAAGTCATATTGCTCATACATACATTAGCCAGCTTATTCTCCGAGAGTGCAGCATATAGACACTACGTCAGGGTCTATATCATCTTGATAGTATCTTAAACCACTCAAATTGGAGAAAAGAACATTCAACTATGGTTTAATTCATCAAACAAAATTAACATAACCAACAACCATCCGATACAAAAATCTTAACAGTGGAAATTGCAAAAACTAACCAATATCTTCGTTATCTAAGTCACAAAAAATTTGGTAATGAAAATGACATTCTTTCTGTAAGGTCAACCAGTTGCAGATTCAATCCCTATTAAAATTGGAAAGTCCCAAAAACTTAATGTTCGAACTATTTTGGCATGCATCCCATAGAACTGATTCTACATAAAGATAAGATCAAAACATCAAGCTGTACTTTGAGATTTTACCTCAGCTTGCCGACCAGCATGCAGTCGGATTCCAGATGCATCATACATAACCTGAGAATATTTAGATTGAGATTAATATCTAATTATGAGTATATTTGATTTTAAAGACATCAAATGTGCACATGTAGTTTCTATGGCACTGTCAAGTTTAAGAGTTGCCAATATCATTGGCACAGATAGACATGGGTGAAATGTGGCATGCCAGAAAATATTGACATGAACCCATGTCACAAAACAATACTTTTTTTTATGCTGGTATCAAAGAGAATGGAAAGTATGACTATCAATTATTGTAGCATCAAAAGAAGCTGCAGCTTGAGTTTAAAATATACTCTATGAAATGTAAAGAAAAATCATATCATGATCTTAACATGGGGGTATGTTTTTGCTAAAATATGCAGTTACTTTAGTAGACATGAAGAACATTAAACTCTTTTTTTCGCATCTCGTACTGCACCAACTTCAAGTCACAAACCAAGTTAATGTCATTTGTCAGTGTCCCATTTAAGATAAAGAAATAACAATAAGATGAAGTCCGCAAAGAAGTTCAAGACATATAGTTGTCAGTATACCATTTAAGATGAAAAAATAACAATAGCATCAAAGTCCACAAAGAAGTTCAAGACATGTAGTCAAGCCGCCATGAAACATGATGTGTGTGATTACATAGTCATGCATCCATATTGGACATATTTATACACAAGGCAAAATTTTATGACTAGAATAGTATATATCATAATTTAGTTGGTACAGTTCGAGAACTATATATGAATCTCATAAGACAACAAAAAAATTATAAATAACTTGCTAAATCAAAAAGCTTGAGCGATTTAGATAATTCCTACTTACTATGGTTGCTAAAGTTACAGCAAGGGCAAATGAAGAACTGTGAAGCCCCTCTTGTAGGCCTATAGCCATGGCGAGAGCTGCCACCGTAGCTGAATGTGATGAAGGCATTCCACCTGAGCCAAGCAACCTCTTAGAATCCCATCTTTTCTCCTTGTACCTGCATGTCTAGGATGGACATATTGAAGGCTTACCACAGAATAACTATAACAACCATAATGCTCAAATAAAAGAGTTAGCAGAGATTCAAGAAACACAAAAAAAATAAAAAAAAGTCATTTATCTGTGAAGCATGGGCATCAAATCAATCACGCATAACATCAGAATTAGAGGAACTGGGGAGCTTCCGTAGCGAAATCATTGTAAAGATGCAAACTTTCGGAAGGGGCGTGAACGAGGACGGACCAGGTGGTGAAGAGTTTGAGGAATTGGGCGATGGAGAAGGCGAGGAGCGCGGAGACGAGTGGGAGATTGGAGGAAAGGGACGGCGGAAGGGCGTCACCCGCCAACGCATTCGACGCCGCCACGTCCGCGGCGGTCAATACCTCGTCCATCTCTTCGTCTCCTCCTCCTCCTCCTCCTCCCTCTATGTGGCAGCTGACTCTGGTCGTGGGATCGATCGATGCCTCTTCCCTCGCTCCTCGTTGTCTTCTTCCCTTGTTTTCCTCTCGAGGGCCAGGCCATTCCCCTACAACTCAAACCCTTGGGCAACGATACAGATGTTGTGTTTGCTGTCCTAATCCCAACAGCTAAGTTTCTTGCTTACACAAGCTGTAATTCCTTGTATATTATATATTATATTATATATATATATAATTAAATACAAAATTAAAGCAAATAGATATAGAAACTACAAACAATACCAAGAAGGGTCCGATAGAGCGTAGATTCCTTGATCAAAATCTTCGTGAAAATTGATGCAGTCAAGTTTAAGTGAAGTCTCAAGATGCACCAATGCTGCTTGAAATTGTAGTACGATTATTCTTTCCACAAATCTGCATCCAGTATTTGCTGCATCAAAGTATCTTGAGCCAACTATGAAGAGATAACTCGTCATTTCGTATACATTCTACTATGAGATTTTGACCCACATTAACGTACAACAAGCATCTGAAATTAAAATACAAAAATGTATGGTGGATTAAAAAACTGTTTGCTCGTATGAAAAAATAATCTATAGTAATTGCTCAGAAATAAAATCACTTGGCAGTATACAATTCCTATACTTGTTCTATGTCAATTCCCTCTATATATAAGCCAAATATTACATCAGACAATACAAACTCTCTTTATATGCTATCATCGTGTATTGAAAGGAGGTTTCTCCTACTCTGTCATGGTGTAGATTCTGTACAAACCTTCATCTTCTTCTCTCTGACGATTAACTCTCAGATTTCATTTAGTACCATCAATGAAAAGATAACTGTCGCCTTTCTGCTAATATCCGCTGGTGAGGACACCTTTGTATCCATTTGGAACTTTGCGGGTAATGTTCAATTTTCGGATGATCTGAAGGCATGATCCGATTGCACCATTGAACTTCAAGTACCGCCGTACGATTATCGAGCTGCTAACTGTGTTAGTATGAATTTAGGAGCTAGTAAATAATACAGCACCAGCATCAAATGGTCCAATTAGGCCCTCCTTCAGAATGCGCATGGCCGCACTGCGAGAAAACTTTCTAGCGAACAAGAAGCATGGTACAAAAATGACATTGCATTGACACCACTCCGTTCGATATTCTGTCTCATAGTATATATGATTAATGTTCTGCAAAATAATGGAGAACAATTTAGTTGTTAATCTGAAAAGAACATTTACTTATTAACAAAAAAGAAGACAGTTTTTGAAATACTAAATATAGGATGAGAAATTGAGATAGGCGGCAAAGAAAATTGCCACAAGATTTCAAGAAAAACATCCTAATAAATCAAGTTCAATGCCATGTAACCAAGCTTGCAAAATGAACCATATTTACCGCATCAAAATACTTACTCACACAAAGGCATGCTTTTATCTCAACTTGTGATACCCAAATTTTAATGAGATATGAGATCTGAGGTAGTTCAACGAGAAGAAAAGATTTATGTAGTCGGCACTAGTAGCTGGGACAATACTGCTTGTTGTTGCTATAATATAAACCCTTGAGATGCTCTATTTTAAGAATATTCTGATACATACACTGTGCATGAGGTTCACTCAACAAAACGAAAAAGAACCATACCCTGTGCATGAGGTTCGCTCAAGGAAACGAAAAAGAACCACTGAACCCACTTCTCTAACAATAAACAAGAATGTAGCCTCATCCAACCTTTAATCTTCCACAGTCTACTGACAAATTGATAATACCAGTAGGTCAGTAACATGATATTACTGAACTTGACACTGTTTTTTATACTTTGTTAGGTCAGTAGCAAAAATATTGGTACTTTACCAACCCATATGTACTACTACCAGAACAGAATTTGAAACCTTAGGTAAACCTCACTGAAAAAAGCAAAAAGAAAAAAGAAACACACACACACACACATATCGACACTATTCACCTATTTTCCAACAGGAAGAGTTCTTTTCTTGAAGTAGCCTCCCAACACTCTGGCATGGCCATCACATGCTAAAAGTTGCATTCACTTTCTGTCAACAATCTGAAAAAGGGAGAAAGTCTTCACTCATTTGTCATTATCATTTTTCAGAATTATCGTAGGCTTTTACAGAATAACTTCAAGGTTTTTTATTTTTTTTATAGATTACTTTCACAGTTATCTGAACATTTCTCTCAACTGAAGTACAAATTTCCTCAAAATCACTTGTTTAACATCATAAATATCATCTAATAAGTTGACAAGTGTGAATCAAATAACATTTAAAGCTAAATCTTTGGCTGTGTTCTTGAAAACTCAGGATCAAATTGTTGACATTCATTTTCACTGTCATTGATAGTCAAGTTCTCCAAACCATTCCGCTAACTATCTATCAAATTAGATCAGATAAATGGTTTTATGTGCTTGTTGACATGGTGTGTAGCACAGACATTGTATTCATGTCTCGATCCATTTATCAATTTCTCAACTTCTTCGTTAATCTGGCATGGTGCTTATCAGAACAATAGTGTGTCAGAATAAATATGCTGCAACTGATGGGTAAAGTAAGTCTCAATCAATTTAGGTTAGGTCAATATGTTTACGTAACAGCTGACACTGGGTATGTTACAAAAATAAAACCCTTCATAAAGGTAATAAGTCAAGTTATTTCCATCCTGATCTCAATCCATTTACTCAAATTGGAGAGGTGAATAAGTGTAAATATCTGCATGTGTACAATTTTCCGAAATGGATCATATTTCTGTTGGATGAAATTTTAATTTGTAATTTAATTTAATCACCTAGACTAGAATTCTCACCACCATCATCTGTCTTAGAACTTATCTGATTCAGTTATTGTCAAAAGCTATTTGTTCCCACTCTTCCTTTTTTTAAATTAGTTTAAGGTCAACTCCTATCTTGTAGGTGTATGCTACCAAATCTCCAAGTACCTTCTTTCTTTTTCGTATAAACAACAAATAGGCTCAAAGCCCATCAACATTCATCAGAAAAATCAAAATGTTTTTCATACAGGATTCCCCATCCAAAAAATTAGCTAAGGCAAAGCTTTAGACAACACGGAAGGAAATCCTCATGTTTCTTTCTTTCCTGACATATGTTCCAGGCAATAGCCAGCATCAAGCAGCTCATTCTGTCTTAGATAAATGAGGATGTTCCATTCCCTTCCAACAAGTCCAAGCAAGTCTCAGAGTAAAGGAGGTCCAGGCAAGATGATGATCAGTTGTCTCAAAAGAGTGACAACATGATCATTATTTACGATGGATTACATACACATTATATCTGTACATATGTGTTACACATGTAAATGTGTAATTACTTCTATACATATAAAAAAGATGGATTATCAAAATAAAAATTTTCACATGAAAGAATATCAAAAGACAAAGATGCTAAAACCATCATAATTGCATAAAATATTCTTAAGGTATGCAGAAACATATGCACTGCACTCTGTTGATATGTAATATAAATGTTAGATAATATTCACCCTTATTTCTGTAATATGCTGTAGGCTTGCATCAGCAAACTCAAACTTCTTTGGATGCCAATTATTTTTTTCCTGTGCATCTATAGATTGGTTCCATGAAGTATATGTTAAAGTTCTTCTCTCCAGTTCATCTTCAAGCTGATTCATCTATAAAAAGAAAAACTTTAACATTAAAAAAACCTTTTATTAAGCTTTCTGAGTAGACATGACATCTAATTCTGCATAAAATATTGCATGCCAATTATGCAGTGAAGATTTACATGCACTATGCAGATGATAAGTGCAGAATTGCGCTAGCCAAACAAAATTAGAAAAGTATATTTCGCCTTACAGAGAGTAATGTTTGCATATAGTGTTCATCTGGAATACAGTTGTGTTCCTTCTGAGTGGCTTCTTTCTGCACATACATTAAACAGAAGTTCATTCTGAAAGGAGGTCTCTTAAGGTAAAATTTCAGTATATGCTTCTGTGGAGAAATACATCAACCACACAATTTCAGTTTCACAGATGAGCAACTCTTGACTCAAACTAAGGAAAGTAAATCATGCATATAAATTGATATGCTAGGAATTCCTCTTAGCCAAACCTGTACTATGCTAATCAGCATAATTAGAAAGCCATAGTTCAATGAAAATAACATTATTTAGGTAAATGGCGTTTTCCTAACACAAAATGTCATTAGTGGGACTTTTCCCAACACATGGACTGTTATATAGCTTCATCATTTCTACCTTACAAAGTCAAGTTGTATCGACTCTTAAAGAACATAGTTTGAGATATCTCATACTTCAAAGAGTTTAAATCAGTTAATCTCAGTTATTGAAGGTGGAAAATCAATGAGATTAACAAGACACCTTTTACGAGCTCTCATCCACTAATAAATGAACAACTTATGTATCAGACACTATGACTTTGTTTGTCCCACAGATATCTCATACTCTGTTCCCTGTAGGAGACAATGTACCCAAACTAGGGAACAGATTTTTTTTTTTTTTTTGAAGGGAACAGCTCATATCTGTGCTCTGATTTAAAGTAATTTTTTGGCATTCCAATCTCGTAGTTTATCAATGATCTTCATTAATGACAACTTTAGTGTATTTAGAAGATCGGATCTCTTTTTAGCTAAAAAATAGCATTTGCAAGTTGCGCTCGAAAGTGCAACGTTTGAGATCCCTACTAAAAGGTTTGTTTATTTACTTGGAAAATCAAACCCAATACTCTCCTCCCATGATCCTTGTGCTTGTGCAGTAGGCATAAACTAGGTTAATCCACCAACCTACACGAAACGATTTCTTGAATTTTTCAAAGCTAGGCACATATGCAGACTTGAATTATCAGGTATAGGTAGAAAACTAGAATGCACACCTGAGGAAGGTATTAGTTATACTGAAGGACATGAATTTAAAAATATAATACTCACCCATTTCTTTTTAAGAATATTTCATGTAAATCTCTACCTCTCTCTTATTATGATCAGCACTCAGCATATCATGGTAAGCACATGTGTTGCCAGTTTCACATATTTGCTTTGAAGTACAGAAATGACAAAATTTCTTACCCTCCCAAAATTACAAATTTTTTGCTTGAATAACACTCAGAATGATTGCAGTGCATGAAACCATCAACTTATCTCCCCTCATCAAGAAAGCAATATGACTCACTTAACCTTAAAAGCTAGTGGGAAGCAAAACACCAGCTAAATTATGTAGCTACATTTGACAAGCAAATATTATAAATGTATCTCAAGAGGCCATCAATCAATTATAGGGTAACAAAATGGTCAACTCACATGATTCTGTTTTCCACCAAGCACTGGTTCTATTCGCCTCTGCAAAAAGGTAAATAAAATAGTCCATGATTCTGTAAAAATTTCCATGATGAACTGAATGAAACAATTAATTTCTGGATCATAAAAAAATTTCATTTGAAATGACTAAGGACAACACATCTAGATATGATGAATATTTTGACTTCCTCATAATCTTGAGGCCACAAACACAGTTGTTCTGGCAACAAAATACAAACATGAAGCAATATCAGGTTAAGACAAATTATGATGACATTGTTGCCAAAGCATTTCTTCTTTGAGAGTACTGAGATATTATTACTATGATCACTTTAGTGCATTTTCAACTACCAGCATCTAACATAAGATGGCAGATACTGGAAAATGTTTAGAAGTATTTCTTCTCAGTTCTCATCATGAAACATCCAAAATTGCTAGCAGTAATTAGATACAGAATTTAAGTTATGATCATGGATTCCTGACAAGAAAGACAGTATAATGTCTTAATTGTGCTCAAACATAATATGTTGTCCTACCAATATAAACTTGGTCAGAGAATAGCAACTATATGATCTGAATACCTTCTTAGCTGCTTTATTCATTCATTGCTGACATATAACAGCAGCTACTGACTGCCCTAACTGCAGACTGTAAATTCTAATATAATATAAGGAAAATTTTTCTTCTGTGGGTTTTGCTCAAGATAAAAATTCAGGATAGTAGATTTAGCTTATTTCTATTTAAGCTTAAAATTTTCTTGTATCAGAAACTATCTGACTACAAGGAAGGTGATTATACACACACACACACACACATATGTATGTATGCATGAATATGTATGTATATGTGTGTGTGTATATACACACACACACATATACATATACATATACATATACATATACATATACATATATATATCAGAGAAATGAATAGGATCTAGAGTTATGGACACACAAATGATCTTGCATATAGCAAAACTAGAATTACACATATTGCACAACTTCACATAGACTAGGCTCAAATATGAAAGAGAATACATTACCAAAAATAGAAAACGAATAAAATTCAGAAGAAAAACTATGTACATGAATTCACTCCTTACCTTGCAGAATCTCCTGAATTCTGGAAACACAACAGTATCAGCCACCACAATCTGAGCATGCTTTCTTACCAAGATTGTCCACTGAATTGAAGTGTCAATGCAGTTAAAGAAACTATAGGAACTTCAATGCTAAACAAAAAGTTCATTTCTTATCTTCTAAATGTAAATGGAAAGAACTACTGATCTTTTCAAAAGAGATGCAAAGGTTTTAGCATGGTAACCTGGGATCCTTTTCTCCATCTGTCCTTGGGTATTGTAGGAAACATCTTAGGATTATAACGTCCTTCCCTTTTGTCAAGAAAGCTAGAAGAATGGCCACAGAGGAAGACCGTAAAAAAATGTTAAATCATGAAAAAAAAAATGTACAAAAAAGAGCCCTTTGGCAGCCCACCTATCCACAAAACTCTTTGAAGAAGACATCACATAGTTATATATATAGCTGAAGTTGTAAAGAGGAACACAACTGCAATATAAAATTAATGAATCAGAAATCCAGCCTACAAAGACAAATGAAATACAGCACAAAAGTATAGAATAGTTTTTTATCGTCTAGATATGTCTTGAAACATAATAGAGCACATGCAGATAATTTGAATGGCTGTCAAAGGAATAAACAACAAAAAGTGCAGTAGAACCCCAAGCATGTCTATATACCTTCTTTTTTCAAGTATGTTTTTAGCCTTTTTTATGTTTCTAAAAAATCAACAACTCTTGCAACCAGACTATTGGGATCAAGTCATGTTTCTTAACATTTACAATTGGCATAAGATAATAGTCAATCAAAACCTAATATCTAATTGATACAAGATACTATAGGCATAGTTAGAAGTACTCAATTTATGATTTTAGGATAGCAAGTAATGGCATACAGAAAGTATCATCAAAATCACGAAAACTGTGTGTAATAAATCAACATCTATCTACAAAATCGAGTTTCTGTTCTAACTTCATATGGGTCATTGTTGTGGTTGTACCATCAAAATCTGATGCAACATTGAACCAAATTGGGTCTCTAAAACTACTTACACTAGTTGTTTTATGTTGAGTTTTCTCTTGTCCCTTATTTTTTGTATTTCAATGGACCCCCATTTTTTTTTCTTTTTTTCTATATTTCATTAGAGATTTCTAGAAAAAAACATGATAGCAGGAGATCTCAAGAGCAAGTGAATATTGGTTTTGTTATCCTGCTAGTCTGCTTAAATACAAGTACAAAAAGTAGGAAGTAGGAATCTCTTAAATTTCAACAAAATATTTCTTAAAGAGTAAGTTGTTAGACCATGAACAACAAGGCCAGCTAGTTCCAGAATGTACTGGAAAAATAAATATGAATAATCACAGTGGGGAACAAAATAAAGCCTTCGGCAGAAACTTTTTGGTAAGTACATGTGCATGATTCTCAGATCAGAAATAAACATTTAAAAAGGAATTTATTTCATGCACGCGAACTTCATAAATACACTGAGGTCATACTCGGCGCTTCAAAACTGCAAAATCTATCAGCGACCATCCCTAGTCGCAATTCAAGAAACTCGCAGTACCTATCAGAGATTAAGGCGAACCGTCGGTTAGCCGGATCCTTGAGGGCCGCAGCGAAAAGCAAGCGCTCCGCTTCAATCATAGTTGCCTCACCCCACACCACCTGCGAACCCCAAACCTCTTCCCCATCGCATCAAAATTCTACACGAAGTACCAAAAAGAGAAACAAGAATACAAAAGGGACTGCAAGACCTTTATGCTATCCTGAATCTGACGCCCAAAAAAGAACGGCGATCTCGTCGTCGTCCTATCGAATACAAAGCCCGGCTCCGAGTGGATGTATATCGAGTATTTATCCTCCTCGGCATTCTACACAGGACGTCAAAAGCAAAATTTAAAGCGCACAAAAGAAAGAAACCGAGAAAAAAACACAGATATTTGATGATGGCGATGCCTGAAAGAAGGCGTGCCAGAGGAAATCCAGCGGGAGATTGGAGCGAGCGAGGAAGAGGAAAGCGATCTTCGGGGTGCCGGAGAAGGGCACCTCCACGAGGGCGGCAGGGGACGGCGATCTCGAGCCGATGCCGATCAGCGCGAGCGTGCACGCCAGCACCGACAGCCACAGGATGAGCTGCAGGCCCAACCAGAGCGTCGGGGGAGAAGCTCTCTTCTTCATCGCCGTCATCCGGGCGACGAACACAACCACCAACTATTTCCTCTCCCCCTCCCCCTCCCCGCGTCGCCGCAAATGGATTTCGTCTCCGTGGACAAATATGTAACGGAAATGGTATTCTTCCACATGTAGCTGTTGCTTCGTGCAATAAATACATCCGTGGACAAATATGTAACGGAAGCGCATCAAATCTCACGAATCAAGTCGGTTCGGGGAGTTGATCACAAACCACCACGTGTGCATCTCGAAATAAGATATCATTCCTATTTCTTCAAGATATCAATCCTCGATCACTTATCATATAATTTTTATAAATTAATCATCACTAATTATAATTATCAAAAATGTAATTTATTTGTTAAAAAAAGTATATATAATTGTATTCAAATAACAGAGACAAATTGTAAGAAAATATAAACATAAAGTGTACTTGGCATACAATTTGTTGGAGAGGGCGTCTCTTAGTGGGGTTGGGGGAGAGGCGCAAAGGCAACCGCCTCAACTGTACCGAGGCGGACGGTGGCAGGAGATTCAAATTTCAAAGCAGTGGGACCGTCCAATGCGGCTCAGTTGTCTGAGTTCACATGGGATTCGTGGTTTCTGCACACACAGGATGGGTTCAATGTCCCAACCATTTGGGATCGATTTCACGGATTCTACTCTGTAGAAAATAATATTCTTAGAAGACAGCATATGATATTTAAACCATTTACTGGTGAGAAAGAAAGAAAGGTGAGCGTCCATTAAAACCAGATGTTTCTCTTTTCCATACTAAATGCATTCGGACAGCTCAATCTGGTTGAAACATAATGCAGATGGATGCATGGGAAGTCCCATGAACTATTTACCTTGCAAAGCTAATTTACATGACAAAACAGGAGAGGAGTGCACGACACTGTGGTGAGAGACTATAGCAGTTCTTGCACATCATCAGGAAGGGAAGGTGGTGAGGAGCAGCCAAATTTGCTGGGAACTGGGGTGTTCCTGCGTGATGCGCGCTTGGTCGGCACCAGTACATTCTCGACTTCTTTCTCTTCGTCGGTTGCGACACTGTCCTCGTCCTCCCCGTCTTTGAAGACTGGGTGTACATACGCATTCGATAAGTATGCTTTCAGGTCAAGATTGGGCTCCCTGGCACGTTCTAATGTATCCTTCATCATTGCTTCCTGGAAAAAGAAAAATAGGTACAAGAGAAATAAGATTCCATGCTTCTGAATTCTAATTAGAAAATCTGTAAGGAACAAAATTCTGCGGCAATATTAGAACTTATATCGAGTTAAGAACATTCCTTGATAAGATTATGCGGAAAAGTGATATTTCAGAAACAATTATCCAATAAGGTGTAGATGTAGACATTTCATGCAGTAACTACGTTCCCATTTTTCTCACTTGCTTTGTGCTAACAATCAGAGATGCAATTTACACAAGAGACAACACCAAGTTTAATTAAAGACCATACACTTAAAGATTTCATTGGCAAAAATAAATAAAAAGGTAAACAATCAAGCATAGTTCGAAGGTTGATAAAATTTTGGATGAGAAGGAAATAATGTTA